AACGTCCCGTGGTGGCCCCGCATCCCGCGGAGGCCGAGGGACGCCCCTTTGCCAGGCGGGATGGCCGCGGGCTGCCTCCTCAGAGCATCCCCAGGCCCTTCCCGTGTGCATGGCTCCAGGGCCGTGGCCAGTTCCTCAGGCAGGTTCCTCTCAGCGGCCTCCGTGTTGCCAGCTTGTTTCAAACGTCAGCCTGGCTGCCAGGTAGATTGTGTCAGGGTTTGAAGATTTTGGCTTGATTGTTGCTCAGCCAGGAAACAGGGCGACTTTGTTGCGTGACAGTTGCCCTCTGGCACCACTTCAGGGAAGATAAAACTCAGGATTAAAAGAATCACCTGCACAGAGGAATATTTTTAGAATAAATTCTGGTTGGTGTATTGTTGGTGTACGTGACAGTGACTAAGTAGAGCAGGCCTGGGCACTTATTCAGAAATGTTACTACTGTCTGTTGTGTCATAAGAAACTTATTGCAAAACTTTTTTTAATTTGGCTGAGTTTTTTTCACGTCCACGGCATCCTATGGTGGTTACCCTTACTCTGGTCAAAATTTGAAATGTAGACACTTGCTTTCAGAGGCACAGAATTTTCTGGGGGCTTCCTTGGTTGGTCCCAGCTTTGTTTACTTGGGGGGAGGACAGGTGGGAAAACTGAGTCTTGGTAGCTCACTTGTCTCCTGTCCTTGGAGCTCCTCTGAGTTGGAGTGGGAACAGGCCCATGGGTATCCACAGAAAAACAGCAGCCAGGTAGGCTGGGAAGAGGGTCCTTGGTGCATAGTCCTCCTGCTGCTGCCAGTGTACATTAAGTAGTCCGCCATACCCTGCATACCAAGCACCATTAAATTAAAGCAGTTGTGTTCTGCTGTAGCCTGATGGGATCAATGAGGGCACCATCTAGGCCTTAAGACTTAAATTGTATTTGAGAATAAATCTAAATTTAAGACAAGGCATGGCCTATTTTATAGTAAGGATTATGTGATGTGATGGTTGCAGTGGTGAAGATGAGACTTGGCTCAGCAGGTCACTTCTCATCCAGTCTTCTGAATGTATTAACTCACATACTTTGCCTAAGCCTCCCTGAATTAATTTGGAATCAAAGATCCTGCCTTATCCATTTAAAATGCACGAGAAAGGAGGTGCTCAATTAAAAGAAAATATGGCATTTGCACAGCTAGGAAGAGGGTTTCTTTCTAGGCAAAAAGATAATGAGACTTTGAAATTTGTTTGGAAGGTCACCAAGGCCAAAACAAAGCCTCAGATAGTCCTGTCTGTCCTCTGCAAAATGTATGTTAAATGTCAGCAGTTTTCTGGAGACACATTAACATGGAGTGAGATGATCTCAGCTGCGGAGTTATACTTTGGATGGCTAGTGCTTACTTGTTTTAAACAACACCAGCCTGTAAAACATTAGTCTGCTCTATCATGAGTTATGTGTTGAACTTGAAATCCTGACTCAGAGTTTCAAAAGTCATAGATGCATTTGAGAGTGGAGGAGGAAAGGTTACCATAAGCCTGCTTCCTGCAGACTTCTTATCCTTCGCTGTGATCCACAGAGCAGCTGGAAAACTGCTCTTCCTGCCTGACCCCCTCCTCCAAACAGGAACATCTGGGCTGGTATTGTTTTTGTGGGGTTGGACTCCTCTGTGTTTATGATTTGGTGACTGAGTCAAACTTCCAAGTTTAATGTCCCTGTTGTAGTTACATTGGCATCTGTTTTCCTGATGCTTGTAGGTACGAATGATCTTCTCCCGGATTTCAGAAATGCTTCTCTCTTGTTCTAAGTGCCACTTAGATCAAGATAGTGAGCATTGATATTTATTAAGACTTCTTTTTAAATAAAGGGTTTGTTGTTTTTTTTAATGCACAACTCTTTAAGTGTATTTTGTATTGTAAAGCTGTTTTCAGGATCTTTTAGTATCTACTGAAATAATTCCCAGATTAGGAGCTCCCAGATAGCATTGGGAATGCACTGGAAGTAGAATTTGTAGGAGTGGATCCACACTGAAATGCGGAGTCCAGTGCCTAGAAGCAAACCTGGATATGAGGCCAACTATAAAAATGCTGGAGTTGCCGATCCATTTGACCAATGTGTGGAGCATTTACTGTGGTGATTGGAAGTCGGAATTGTTGAGGTTACTTATTCCAAAAGACCATCATCATGCCATCCACTATTGCAGTTCTGCTGACAGCTTTGGATGAAGACCTTGGGGTTTCTGGAGGATGATGAGCGGGATGGGAGGACTCTGCCTCCTCCCTTCTTTGTTGTCTGATCTGATTTTACCAGTAGGACTTGTCCCTGGGACTGTCACGTGTCACAGGAACCTCGTGCTGCACAAGAGCTTTTGGAATCTACTGGTTGCCCGTTTTCCATGCAGTCAGTGTGTCCCCCTTCATGCCCACACTGTCCCACCACTCCCCTGACCGTGTCATTCCCAGAACCACCAGCCCCTCGCTGTCACCCTGCTCGGATCTGCTGTATGCAGAGGACATGGTGCTGCAGGAGCAGAGGCTGCTCTGACCACTGAGAACAGAGAGGGGTGAAGCAGGGGCACAGCACGACCAGGGGTTGCAGAGGACAAAGTGAATATTGCAGATCCTAAAGCAGTGTGGTAGAACCGACATCTTACCTTTCTGATATGAGCAAATTGGCTGCTGTTATTAACTAGTCAGAAAACAGACTTTTTGAGAAGCAGTTAAGAGAAACGGATATTCGAAACTGTATCTGCTGGCACATGTTAACTGCTTTTCTAGGAAATGCTGCATTTATAAGAGGTGTGGCTATCCAAGACCTTTCGTTACCGGTAGTGATGATGGTGACCATGGTAAGAGGCTCCTGCTCTTGAGTTAAGCATTGGGACTAGTCTTCTATTCCTCATTTCTTGGTTAACTCTTAGGTGGGGAAGGTGGAAGCTGCAGCAGGTATGTTCTGAAGCATTATAGTTGAGAGACCAGACTTGTTTCTTTTATGTATCTGTGACTCTAAAGTGTTGCATGGTAAATCTTGCTGGCTGTTCTTGTCTTGCTGGAGCCCATCAG